CGGTTGGCCGGGCGGGGGGGAGAAGCGGCGGGGGGGGGGGCCTGTGAAAGCTTCTCCCATCAGTACGACTTCCCGGGCAGGTGGGAGAAGCAGTTTGGGGGGTGGGGGGCCTGTGAAAGCTTCTCCCGGATTGGGGGGGGAGAAGCGGCAACCCTGGGCCTAGCAGGGTCCAGGGAAGCCGCGGGGACAGTTTGGGAGGAGGGGAGAGAAGGAAGCAGCGACCCTGGGCCTGGCGAGGCCCAGAGAAGCTGCGGCCAAGGATCGGGGGGAAGGAAGCAGCAACAGTTCGGGGGGGGGAGAGAAGGAAGCGGCGACCCTGGGCCTGGTGAGGCCCAGAGAAGCCGAGGCCAAGGATCGGGGGGAAGAAGGAAGCGGTGACCCTGGGCCTAGCAGGGCCCAGGGAAGCTGTGGGGACAGTTCGGGAGGGGGGGAGAAGGAAGCAGCGACCCTGGGCTTGGCAGGGCCCAGAGAAGCCATGACACTGGTGGGAGGGGGGAAGAGGGGACCGGCAACTGTGGGCCTGGCAAGGCCCAGAGAAGGCATAGGACTGGTGGGGGGGAGGACTGGTGAAGCGGCCCAGCTGGAGAAGCCCCGGGGAGACATATAATTGTCTCCATGCGGCCTCCGGAGGGCTCCCCAGCTCGCCTGCCTCGGCCTTGAAGGCCTGTCCCTGCGCTTACCCTACAGATGGTCCTGTCCTGTCCGAGGACCAGAGCAGAGTGAGCGGAAGACGCTGGCCGGGGCAGACGTGGGCGGGATTCCGCAAAGCAGCTAGCCAACCCAGCCAGCGTCTTCTGACTGTCAGTTCTTGCGGCCAACCACTGTTGGTGCGCACTGAACGTTGGACACAAAAATGGCTGTATATATAAGGACAGGATATGATGAAAATAAACTGGAAACTAAATGCACATACCTGTGTATAATGAGTGCACACAGGGCCAGAACATCTATAGGGGCAATAAGGGTTGCATTCTTGAGGATATGGATAACTGAAGTCTCTTACTTCATCATACCATGACTGGACATGAAATGTTAAAGGTCTATATCTATGGAAGAAGAAAACACCTAATGTCATCAAAAGAATCTATGTTTGCACCAATTATTGAAACAAAGTATCCAGTGTTCATACTATTTTCTATTACTTTCAGTTCAGAAACCTTTAATGGCATAAAACCTTTAATGGCAACAGAGACTTCTGTATATACCTTCCCCAATGTGCTCCCAAGTTCTGTCCAATGGATGGAAGCAGAGCTGCAGGCCCATGTTCCCACAGACATGTCTCGGCCCAGGCTTGTGCTGATCTCTCCAACTCTATATCCCATGTCTATATTTGAATAAGGGGAAAAAGAAGAAACAAAAATTGGACCTAGTTTTTATATATTAATATTTTGAAAGGGAAATACTCTTTTCCCTAATGTGGTTACTCCTTGGAAAGTATGCTTTAATTTTTAGAAAAATCTTTCAGAAACATATTCACTTAAACTCATATATGCAAATGGTTACATGGCAAACCTTTTGCCACAAGGCAAGACCTACCACCCTCTCTTTTGATCTGTTTACACAATCCAGACTATTGTGTCAGAGGCAAAGAGTAAACACACTGCAATATGCTCCTTTCAAAGCAAACAACCAGATTCCTTCCCAACATTAGATGAGTCTAATCTTGAAAAAAGAAATCTATTTACCCAGTTAAAATGCAGTGCATTCCTGTTTCCATTATACAATTTTACTCCTAGTTTTTTCTATGAAGAAGCCCCCCCATAATACAGGGTTATCAAGAGACCATAACTGAGGTATTGAAATAGAAAAGCATAGGATGATCTCCATAATTTTTTTTTGCATGTGCCTTGGATCACTTGACAGTTCTTTGTTCCCAGAACTATTCCCCAAAATCTACAAAACAGACCTGGCCAAGTATTGAAATAGAAAAACATAGGATGATCTCCATAATTTTTTTTTTGCATGTGCCTTGGATCACCTGACAGTTCTTTGTTCCCAGAACTAATCCCCAAAATCTACAAAACAGACCTGGCCACCATCCCTCATACCTTAGTAATATCCAGTCTGGAGTACTGTAAGATACTCTATATGGGGCAGCCTTTGAAGACTATCTGGAATCTCTGATGGTTGATTGTAACAGCCTAAATATTAACTCAAAATTATATGTTCAACCAATGTTATACCAATTACACTGGCTTCCAGGTTTTTCCCAGGCTTAAGTAAAAGTGCTGATTCTGAGCTTTAAAGTCCTCAATGGCTTGAATCCAAGGCATCTGATAGATCACTTCTCTTATGTTACTGCCCCAAAGTAGTCTGAAAGGGGAGAAGAGTTCTGTGGGAACATGTACTTTCACAGGTGCCTTGGGTGGGGAACTGCATTTCTCAGCAATTGTACTTAAACTGTGAAATTTCTTCCACAGGAGTTCTATGTATCCCCCTTTCCGCATCAGCTGAAAGCTTATTTATTACAGAGGGCCTTTGTGTGAAATCATCTCTTGGTTCTCCCAGATTAGAGTCTGCAGTCCTAACCCCTACACCAAACTGGTTTCCTGTAGCAAATAGTGCTATCTTCCTTTGCATATTTCCCTTTTTCATTCTTGTCCACAAAACCATTTTACACTAATTTTGCTTCCTCTACACACTACTGTGGAAGCTTTTTTCTTCCTTTGGGGATAATTAATGAAATTTTCGCTATCTTCATCTGCCCCACCCCAATATCAATTTATTTAAACTGCTAATCTACAATTCAACTCCGATTAACTGCCAGAATGAATCTATTTAATCTATCAATAGTGTCTTCAGGCAAACAAAGGCAATGTTTGTGATCAAGTGAATTTTTAACAGGAAACCATTTTCTATGGGAAATGTTAAGTCGGTTACTTAACAAAGAGCCAGAGAGTGATTTCAGCAAAAGATCAGCTTTATTCAGCAACTCGTAACTCAACTCCAAACAGATCAACATGAATAGCCAGAACAGCTTTAGCATTGAAGCTGTTCCACTTTTAAACTCTCCCGGCTAATGTAGCCACGCCTACTATACAAATACCAACCTATGAGGTTGCAGGGATAAAGTCCAATCACAATAGTTCCCGCTCTTGGAACTGGCTGTTGGTGATTGGTCAGCTCTTCCTGGGCTACCAATTACAATTGAAGGATTAGGATCCTAGCCCAGGATGAAAGCTTCACATGGTGATTCAATGACTGAGTTCACATACATACATTGTCAGATTGAATACACCACAGGAAATGATGAAATGTGGCTGTCCAGAGCACTACAAAAATGTCATCCATAAAACATTTAATTTATTGTGGTTGATAGTGACAGATGAAAACATAGGGAACTGTTGAGACTAGAAAGAATACTCAAGGTGTCTCTGAAATATTTACTTCTTTCAAAGAACTTTCTACCCAAACATCACTGAATAATATTATCTTTTCTACTGTATCCACACTAAAAAATATCCTCCACTGTGTATGCTTAAATGCAGACGTAAGAAGTATTCATATCCTTTACCTTTTTGGCAAATGATATTTGCTACAGTAAAAAAATACAACACATGTGTTTTAATAATCCAGAAGCAATCCCTCATACTTAACTTTCCAGTGACTAAAATCCTCAGATGGTCACTGCAGAGGCTTGCTCCAACAAAAATTAATGGTGAGTGCTATAGGGCCAGTATGAAAATTTTATTTGAAAAGGAAGCAAATAAAAAATATCCTAATGTTTAACATCAAGGATTAATATTGGCTATTAATATCAACTAGTATAATATGGAATGGTAACCTAATGGGTTGAATCCAAATTACTGTGTGTATAGCTATGGACCAAACTGCCCTGCTTGACTGTCTCTCTGCAGCTCACTGTATCTCTCCAAGTGGTGCCTCCGGTGTTCAGGGTATGGTGGGAAGGGGTCATGCAGTGAGAAGGTGAATGGGCAAAAATTCCTCCTCCAGCAAATCTTTCCTTTCCAGTGGGAAAGAAGATGTGGAACTATCTCCAGACATTCTTGTTTATCTAAAAATAGACTTTGGCTGCGGTCACACGGAGCATTAGCCACGCTAGAGCGATGGAAGACAGGCGGAGTTTCCGGGCGCGATCTCACCGGCACATCTGGGAAGCGTAGCACTTCCGTGGCTCAACTGAGGCTTCCCGCCGAAAACACGCAGCAAAAAACTAGTACCTCGGAGGTACTAGTTTCCGGTAACTGCGGGGCAAGGGCAGGCGTCTGATCACGTTTCCGGAGGCATCCGGCGCCCACCCATGTCCCCTTGCGAAAAAGGGTTTTTTTCCCCACATCTCCGTGGATGCACACAAGCACCCAACGGAGCATGCACAGTCGTGGTGTACACGAACTAAACACATCCAGTTTGCCGCACCGCGCACTTTTTTTGCGCACGGAATTGTCTTGCGATCAGCACCTCTCCCTTCCCACGGAACCTCCACGGTACCTCCACGGTACCTCAACGGGAGGTCTGATCTCTTTACCACGCATTAGTTTGCCCCGGGGCAAACTGCCACGCTCCCCCCCCCCGCAGTTTCCTGCCCGTGTGACCGGGGCCTTTAATTAATACTAGAGTCGAGGGTTGCAGAAAATGAGGGAACTTGAAACAATGGAACATTCTAATGTACTAAGCTTTCATAGTTTCAGCAGTGTCTCTTAATATACTTCTCCCCATGATGAAATTTCAAAGGCCCTTAATATAGCAGGCCACCTCTCTTTCTTAGACAAATGATCAAGCATTTATGTTAGTATTTTCTCCTGTAACTTATTTTTATATAGTGTCCTCATAATAAATTGTTTATGTGGGGTTATGCTGAACTTCAGCAAATTTGGCATGTGGAAGGCGTACCTATTGCAATATTCTCACTTTCAGCTTCCTAAAGAAATCTCTCTAATTGTAGGATGGGAAGTTATTACTGTTGGTAACCATAAGACTGAATTTGGGTACTTACTTCTCCCCATGATGAAATTTCAAAGGCCAGTCAAGCTCAGCTTTGACATGGTAGCCAAAAATGCACATTGTATTGGACCTTTTGTAAGACTTGCATTTAGCTTCCTAATAAACCTAAGGCCTCAAATAAAGCTGTGAGACTACCTGGATCTTATCTAACTTTTCTGCAGCTTGGAGTGGGAGCAATTTTTGTTGATTCCCTCTTCCCACTGCAGAGCTCTAGCTCCCCCCTCATGCAGTTCCCCAGTGCACCACTGGAGGTCCTTTTGGGCTGCCATAGAAGAAGAGGAGATTGGATTTATACCCTGCCCTTCACTACCTGAAGGAGTCTCAGAGTGGTTTGCAATCTCCTTTCCCTTCCCCTCCCCACAACAGACACCCTGGGAGCAATGCTCCCTCTAAGCTGTGGAGTCTTGTGAGCAAAAAATCTACTTTGTGAGCTCCTGGTGTTAAAGTTGTGAGCAAGCGATTTGGCTACTGCATAAATTAGTTTGCTCTGGAGCCCTCCTTCCTGAGCAAAGACAAAAATGTGTGAGCCGGAGACTAAAAAACTGTGAGCTAGCTCACACTAACTCAGCTTAGAGGGAACACTGCCTGGGAGGTAGGTGGGGCTGACAGAGCTCTGTGAGGGAACAGTTCTGAAAGAACTCCTAACTGATCCAAGGTCACACCAGCAGCTACATGTGGAGGAGTGGGGAATCAAACCCAGTTCTCCCAGATTTGAGTCTGTGCTCCTAACCACTACACCAAAGGAGAGAGGCAAGAAAGCTGCCAAAACAATTTCTGTCAGTTATAATTTTGGAAGAATCCAAGCCAACGATATTCATTTCCTAATTCTGTTCCCATCTGCTTTAAGTTTAAGGACGTACACAACACATTTTAGGTAAAGAACCACACAATCTTTTGGAGTGACATACAGACAGAGATCGTTGCACAGCTTGATGCAGAGACCTATTAATATAAAATAAAAAGAGCTAAGGTTTAGACTTATTAAAGACAGTATGCATACGGTTGGCACCAACAAAAGTAAACATTTACTGTGGCATGATATAAAGCCTCAATGCTGTATTCATTCTAAATACAAGGAACAGATGGGTAGAGTAAATATAACAGTACAGTATGGTACTTATTTGCTGTTTATAACATCTACAATATTAATTAATACAAGTTAAAATGAAAAGAGAAATAGAGAATAAAAACTGGCTAAGAAATATCATATAAAATAGCAAAGTTCAATTGTATATAATATTTGGATTCCATGCATATATTTCACACTGGTTTAGGAATCATGGGAGTCAATCTGAAGTACATTCAAATGTGTATCAGAACGTATATAGAATATCTTAGGGTTGCCAGACCCCCAGTCTGATG